CCAGAGGTGTTTTTCCTTCCCAAAGGAACATTTGCAGCAGGCATTCTGCATAAGTGCAGGAATGCTGCAGTCTGCAAACCTGGTAATTCCTTGGGATTTGCATTGCCCACCTGCTTTTCAAAGGCAGAGGGCAAGGTCTGTGTTGGAGGCATGTGGAGAGCAGGAGGCTGCAATGGGTTCATCCCTACAGCCCTACACCCCAGGCCCTGTGCCCACTGCCTGGCCCCAGCCCAGCCCTCCCTCACCCTGGTTGCAGCAGCACAAGCAATGTGGAATGAGGATGGGGTGGGGAACAAGAGGGTTAATCAAACCACACAAGGAACAGGCTCCATCACCCCTGTGTCAGTGCGGGGCAGATCCCCCATGCCCCCGGCATGTGCTGCACTGAACAGCATGCAAGGAGCTGCTGAATACAAGCATTTTACTTCACAAACACCCTTTGGCTTCACCTGCAGTAGATGGCAGATGTCCGCAGATCTCATTATGCTGGTTACCAAGTGCAGAGCTAGTTTGGTTAGAAACTCGTGTGAAGTGGTACATCAAACACTGGCACCGGCCCAGCGACGGCAGAACAAGAGTCAGGCTCCTGCCCGGTGCCTGCACTGGGCTGGGTCAATTGGAATCAGCAAAGAGGCATCTGCCCGATGGAAATCACCTACTGAACACGCCAAATATTTGATCTAAGCAAAGGAAGAACACACTGATTTAATGCCGGGCTGCCCCGTGGCAACGGGGCAGGAGTGGAGGAACTCGGCTGCTCCCAAAGGGGGATGTTAACAGCGGGGCTGCAGCACGGGATGGAAAGGTGGGAGCTGGAGGGAAGCAGGGATGTCTCCTCCCTGCCCTGCACCCGTGGTGTGCGGATCCCTCCGTGCCTCCCCACGTCAGGCAGGGCCAGTTAACACCTCCCAGCACCCCTCTCCCTCCTTCTCCATGTCCCCCTCCGTCTGGAGTTCATTCCATCAGCCGTCATGCCGGGTCCTTGCGTGCTGCCGGGGGTAAAATGGCTTGAAACAGCTTCGCTTTATGAACTGTATGGGCTCTGGCATTTTGCCTTGTCTGAGGCTAAAAGCCCTCCTTGGGATAGGATGTTTCCCATAACTGATCTATCTGCTCGCCCAGCATCAGCCTCTGCTAAACCCCAGCTCCAAATGTGAGCAATCAATGTATGGCACCGCGTGTGCCGGCTGCTCAGCTCCCTGGAACAGCCACCGCTGCCCTGCTGCTGCCTCCTCCCCTTCCCCACGTCACCAGGAAAGGTGATTTTACCAACATGCTTGTGCCAGAAACGTGGGATCCAGAGCAAACGAGGATGATCGGGGCTGCAGCACCTCCCATGGGGAGACAGGCTGAGGAAGTTGGGGCTGTTCAGCCTGGAGAAGGGAAGCTGCGGGGGGACCTCATAGCAGCTTCCAGTATCTGAAGGGGGCCTATAGGGATGCTGGGGAGGGACTCTTCATTAGGGACTGGAGTGACAGGACAAGGGGTAACGAGTTAAAACTGAAACAGGGGAAGTTTAGATTGGATCTAAGGAGGAAATTCTTTCCTGTTAGGGTGGTGAGGCACTGGAATGGGTTGCCCAGGGAGGTTGTGAATGCTCCATCCCTGGCAGTGCTCAAGACCAGGTTGGACGAGGCCTTGGGTGATATGGTTTAGTGTGAGGTGTCCCTGCCCATGGCAGGGGGGTTGGAACTTGATGATCTTCAGGTCCTTTCCAACCCTAACTATTCTATGATTCTATGATTCTATCTGGCTTTCCCCCTGCAAGGTGCTGTCTTCCTGAATCAGTTCAGATGCAGATGAACCCTACTCAGAGCCAAAGGGAAAATGAAACTCAACTGGATTAGAGTGATCTTAGCAGTGAGGAAAGAGGTGTGGGCAGTGGCTGAAGACACTAACCCCTAGGAACACGCTGGGGGTCCCTTGGTGACAAGCTCCCAGTGTGGACCATCACCCACACTGCCTGGTCCCTAATGCCAGGAGGTCGGAAAGAGGGAACAACCCGGGAGCATCCAATAGAGGTGAATTACACAACATCCTCCTGCAACCCCTGAACTGACTGACAGCAAAACCTCCTCTTCCTCCTACCTGCGTGCTCCGCGCGCCCAGCTCCATAGCAGAGGTGTGAAAGGGGCAGAGCCCAGCAGTGCAGCCGCCCTGTCCCGTGCCCCAGTGGGAAGCACAGCGCAGGTTCCAGGGCGGGAGGTGACAGGTTCCTCGCTGACCTTGCAGCACTTGGGCCCTTTCACCGCCTTGCCCCAGGGCTTCCATGGCACCTGCAGCCGGAGCCGGGCGCGGGAGGCTGGGAATCGCCGTGGATTCAGTGCTGAGGGCACTGATTGCGGGGAGCAGGAGTCAAGACCTTGTCCTGGTGTCGCAACCGAACCCTTGCACCTGCTCTTGCCTTGTGCAGGCAGACCTTGCCTCCTGGGGTAGGGGGGAGCTGCCTTTTACAACCGGTTCTTGGGCAACTGTGCTGGGAAAGAGGTGTTTTCGGTGAGGATTCCGCCAGGACGTGGAAGGGAGCAGACCTCCGCCAGCTGAGCAGCCGTCAGCAAGAGCTCTGTGTGCAGCGCCTTGTGCAAGGAGAAGGGGGATGGAGAAGGGGCAGACAAAGGAGGAAATGTTATTTCCAGAGCACTGGTTTTTGCTCCCTAAACCGTAGCAGAGGCATGCCCTGAATGTCCACCTCTTGCACTGGGGTCAATCCGGGCTCTTGTATCACAAGTAAGGCAGTGAACAGATTGCTTTCCCACTCACACTCCTTGGTCTGGGGTCCCTTTTCCATGCCTATGCCAGCGAAGGCAAGTGGCTTTATGCCAGTGGCTCCTATCAGCGCTAGCCAGAAACCTCAATGTGACTTTCCTCTTCCCAAACACAGCTATCACCAGCGCAGGGATGGAAGATAAGAGCTCAGTGAGCGCATGCGCAAGATGAACACTGGAAAAAGGTCCATGCTTGGCATGCACAGCCTGCTTTGAGGCTGCTGGGGCAGGGGTCAGTCAGGTAGGAGCCGATGGGTCTCTTAGCTGATGACCTACTGGGACAATATCTTTCACCCACATCATGCCCTCGGAGCTCAGCAGTTCTGCCTTCGTTCACTGCCTGCCCCAGTTTCTCAGTGCATTTATCAGTGGGGCCCAACTTCACACTCCTCAGCATCCCCCACTGGGGAACGGGCTGCCTGGAAAGCTTGGAAGAGGAGCTCTCACTTGGAGCTCTTCCCCCAGAACTTGTCCTTTCATTGCCACACCATTCTGGAACTGAGCTGTGAACACCCTGGGCCCTGGCTCTCTGCTTCTCCCTCCATGCCCATCGCATCGCTCCAGCATCCTGCCCCGGCCCGGCAGCCCTGCTCTTATCCCACCACCACCAGCACAGCTGGGTTTGCCTTTTGTGCAAGGAGCAGTCCCCCAGCTCGTTCCCTTTAATTCTGAAACCTCAGAGGTTTAACCTGCTGTTTGATGTAGGGCAAGGCCAGCGATAAGCCAAGGCAAGAACCCGACTGTGTCCGAGACGCTGACATCATTAGCCTGTTTGTTTAAGACGGAATTTAATCATGGGGATATTTTCCCCTTGATACTTGCCTTGTATATTATTTTCCCTGATTGCCAGCACTTTCGCTCAGCAGGGGAAATTCATTAAGGAGCTGGGATAGAATTGGCTGCTCCAGGCTGGCTCGTGGCAGGCAAGCGATGGAGCCCAGAAAGAAACCAAGAGGGGCTTCTTGCCCTGGAACCTGGGGGGTTCTCACCCTTCAGATGCCTGCTGCTGAACCTGGACCTGGGCTACGCAGTGGAAACTGGCAACGGAGAGCAGAGCTGTGGGGCTGGGAGCTGGGAAAGGCTGGGAACCTGCCCAGCAACGGGAGGGGGAGGCAGAGACAAGGCTCCTGCAGCCTGACGTGGGAAAAGCAGGGAATGAGTGGTTATCAGATGGGCTCCCGGTGTGAGCGTCGGGACTGGGAAAGAGCCTGGGACACTGCTCAGTGTTGGCCTGCACCAATCAATCCTCTGAGAGGTAACGCTTGGAATTGCTCTTGGAAGGGTATCTCCAGCTGAAAGGGAGCCGCAGGGACGCCAGTGCCTGCAGAGGGCACTGGATTCAGCACCTGGTAACGCAGGAAGAGGGCCACGGGATCACAGCATGGACTGGGTTGGACACGTCTCCTCTTTGCCTTAGCTGCCCTCCAAGGACATAGGCTGGGGTCTCTCCCAGAGCCTGGAATCAGAAACACAGCATTGCCGGAGCTGCTCTACAGCAAAGGCACCGGATTGCCCCCAGGATCACTGCAGGAGTGGGGTCCATGACCTCCCTTTCGGAACCCATTAGCTCCTATTTGCATAATGATCCCATTGACCTAAATTCTCCCAAGTTTCAGCTGCCTGCATCATCCTTCCCTTCCTGCCCTGGACTGCTGGGCCACTGCTCCCTGTTACTCATGTCTTCCAGCCCCTAGTCCGAGGTAACTGCTTCTCAGCGAGGGCTGACACCGGTCCTGTGGATGGGCATTTTGCGAGGGCACTCAGTGCCTTCACCGCCTTCAGCAGTGCCAACAGAGGGGAGAAGAGGATCTCCCGCATTCAAATCACTCTGCGAGCTCTCAGCAACGGGGATGTTGTTTCTTGGTGCATTCTCCTGCCTGAATCACCAGCTTTTTCCACCCCCTCTTCCACTCCTGTGTTGGGCAATGACCCACTTAGATACAAGCATTACCACAAATAATTACCAAGATCCCTGGTTTATACCTGACCACTTCCTTCCTCCACTCCCAGCCTCTCCAGACTGATTCTCCCCACTTCCAGGGAATCGCTGGTCATAGTAAAATGAGGGTTCTGTGGAATTTATCCTCTTTGGTAAGAGCCAGCCACCAGGCAGGACTAATGCATCCAGATAGCTGGGCATCTTCATCACTGAAATGGAATAGCAACGGTTATCCTCGCGCACATCACTTCCTAGCCTTGTCTCATGGCAAGGGAGGAACGGGACGGCTGCTGGATGCAAACGAGCCCCTTTGGCAGTGGAAATGAGCCCTCGGGTGGAAACTGCCTTTAGTCAGTGTCTACTTTGCCTTGCAAAGCCCGGCCAACCCTGCTGGCAGGTGGGGAAACTGAGGCACGGGAAAGGTCAAGTGATTTTCCCGAGGCAAAAAGGCAGTGACTGAGATTGCAGAGCTGAGATTGCCACCCCTGCTCCTGTGCCACACAATCCAGGGCGCTGCGGTCCCCTTCCCGCTCATTAGCATCACCTCCACGGGGCCGGGGGAGAATCCCAGTGCCGGGGAGCAGCAGCCCCTGGTGCCGGGAGAAGCCACTCCCAGGACCTGCCCCTGCGCCACGGGGAAACTATTTAGGGTGGAGATGTGTGGGGAGGGCTCGCAGGCGCTGGAGGTGTCCGGTCTGTTATAGCGCAGGTGGGGCCGGCTCCGCTCACATTCCTGCCTTTGCTTTTCCCTCTTGTTCCGTGCCGGGAGCAGAATCCAATGATCCAGAGATGAACCAGGCCAGGCCTCGCTACGTCATCGAGCGTCCTGCCTATTCCCTCAGCCTCTTCGACGAGGAGTTTGAGAAGAAAAGCAGAACTTACCCTGTTGGGGACAAACTGAGGAACCTCTTCAGGTAACAGCAGGGGCTGAGCAGAGACCAGGAGCTGGGCTGCGATTCACACCTGGGGATGCAGTGTCCATTTCTAGCCTGGGAAACCTCCGTGATGTTCAGGGCTTGGGGGGATGAAAGGCACAGGAGAAATGCAAATCGTATTGAAGCAAGCGGAGCTGGTTACTCACTGCTGGCAGGAAGGGTTTGCACCGAGTGCAGTTGGGATGCGGGGGTCTTTTCCAAGAGCTGTTCAATAGGGATGTCAGGATGAGGGGGTGGGTTATTTCTTTCAGCTTTCCAGCTGGGATATCCTTGTATCAGCTGCCTCATTAAAACCAGCACTGCCCTTCCTTAAAGGAAGATTAATAATTGTGCAAATAAAGATGAATAAGCTGGCTGAGCACCGTCTTGGAAATCTAGCCCCATTGCTTGGAAGAAGGGAGGCAGTAGCACAGGGAAGCAAGACCATACACGTTAGCTGGCAGAGACAGTGCATGTGCCAACCCAGAAGCAGTCTGGGCTTAGGATTTGGTGTGGGAGAAAGACTGAGACATTCCTAGGACAACCCTTCCTCGCTCCCTTGCTTCCTCCCTTACGTGCCTGTTGTTTCCCATCTCCTCCAGATGTTCAGCGTCCAGACTCAAGCTCATCCTCTTCAGCCTCTTCCCGATCCTCGTGTGGCTTCCCAAGTACAAAATCAAGGAGTACATTTTGCCTGATGTTCTTGGGGGCGTCAGCGCGGGGACGATCCAGGTGCCGCAAGGTGAGATGCGATGAGCCGGGGTCACTGAGGGGGGACGGCACTTTGCCAGCTCAAGGAGAAGCCTGCACAAGTCCACTTTGGGGGGGATTAGCTGCCAGAAGCTCTGCCTCTGACCTGATTGTCCCTGTCTTCCTCTGTGGTGCCCTTCCCTGCCCTCTTCCGCCCGGAAGGCAGCAGCCACAGCACCTTCTTGGGGCTGGCATGAGTGTGAGCACGGCAAGGGGCTGACACCACCCTCACAGACCCGTTTCCTTTGTGCTTTCCAGGGATGGCCTTTGCACTACTGGCCAATCTGCCTCCTGTCAATGGGCTCTACTCCTCCTTCTTCCCATTGGTAACATACCTCTTCCTTGGGGGTATCCATCAGATGGTCCCAGGTAAGAGTCTGCACAGCAGCCGCCTGCACAAGGCAGTTAAATACTGGCTGGGCATACTCAGTGTGGTCCAGAATAGAGGTGTTTGGTCTGCCAGGGGTTTATGGGATCCCATATTCTGGCTGCACAGCAGGATCTCACCCCAGTGACCAACAGCCGCATCCTGCCATGGGGCTGGTTGTGGTGATGGGCTGGGTGACTCGGTCCGAGCACCTTCCAGGACAGGATGCTCTCTAGAGAAAGCCACTGACATCACTGTGTTGTGCTGCAGGTACGTTTGCAGTCATCAGCATTATTGTTGGCAACGTCTGCAATGAGCTGGCTCCAGAGTCGGACTTCCAGTACTTCAACCACACCACTAATGAGACCAGCGTGAACACCACAGCCCTGGAGGCGGCCAGGCTGGAGATCTCGGCCACCCTGGCCTGCCTCACCGCCGTCATCCAAGTAAGGGCTTGTGTGGCTCCCACATGGAGCCAGCCACGTAGAGCTGGTGGCAGGAGGTGGGCGATGCCTCGGAGCCGGGGGTTTGGGGGATCCCAGTTTTGGTGTGAAGCCCTCCCGGAGCGGAGCAGCTTCCCACCACAGCTCCCGAGGCTCCACGCTCCTGACACCCCCCCGTCTGTCCTGCCCTAGCTGTGCCTGGGATTCGTGCAGTTCGGCTTTGTTGCCATCTACCTCTCCGAGTCTTTCATCAGGGGCTTCATGACAGCAGCAGGGCTGCAGATCCTCATCTCCGTGCTCAAGTACGTCTTCGGCTTGACAGTCCCGTCTTACACCGGGCCCTTAGCTATCGTCTATGTAAGTGGGTGCCTTCCCTGCACCTCCTTCCCCAGTGACCACCCCACCGCAGGCACCCGGGCAAGGGGGGCTTGGGGAGAAGGAAAGGGTGGAGGGAGGGGGAATGCAGATGTCCCATGCTGCTGCCACTGTATTTCCTTACAGTGTTATCTGTCTATTAGTTTCCAATTAGAACTACTGAAAGGGGCCTGGGATTTGGGGAGCACATGAACTGTGTTTTACAGCAGGAGCCTTGCACAGTTGTGATCAACAGAAACCTTTCCTACGAGCAGGATTCCCCATTCCTGGGCTTTCCTGCATCTCCCATGGATGCATCCTCCACTGATGCAGCCAGAACTGCATTTAAGTGGGGAGCACAGCCCCAGGGCTGGTTGCTGATCTCAGCAGCAGGGTTTCTAGCACTTCCCTCACCCTCGTCACACCTTGGGGTGTTTGCAGTTGATTGCGGTAACAAATGATCTCCATTCTGCTGTCCACGCTGTCCAGAGTCTCTGGTTCCCTTTGACACCTTCTCCTCTTCTCTCCCCTTTAGACTTTCATTGACATTTGTAAAGGTCTGCCCCAAACCAACGTGGCCTCCCTGGCCTATGCCTTGGTCAGTGCTGTGCTCCTGATCATTGTCAAGGAGCTCAACCTGAAGTACATGAAGAAGATCCGGATGCCCATCCCCATGGAGATCATCATTGTAAGTGACACGTGAGCTGTTCCTTAGGTCCTGCAGGAGCCAGTCCCTCCCCTTACCTGACAGCAGAGCATCAATAGAGTGACTATGATGTGGTCCCCACGTGTCTTGGGCCATTCTCGTGGAGGATACCTCTGGTGCCCATCTCATCCCTGTTAGGCTGTACCTGCATCCTGGTGATGCTGAGGATGAGGAACATAACTCCTCATGGAGAAGTTCTCTCCTTTCCTAGCCCAAATCTGGGGCTAATTTTGCACTGTCAGCCCCCGGAGTAGAGCAAGCTTAGTGCTCCTGAGAGAGCTCATGCTCCTTCTGCTCACTGCTCTGTTATTCTCTGTCCTTCCAGGTAATAGTTGCCACTGCCATCTCCGGCAGCTTTAACATGCCTGAGAAGTACGGCATGCCAGTCGTTGGGAAGATCAGCATGGGGTAAGCGCATGTGCGGGTCCGACTCAACTTCCAGCTCATTTTCCTTCCTCCTCCTCCTCCTGCAGCCTTCCCTGCCGTACGACAGCCCCCGTCCAGGACTGCCCAGCAGCACCGCTGCACCTCCTTACGCAGCCGCCTCCATCCCTCCCAGCCACCCGTGGGTTGTGGCATTCCCAGCCACCCACCCCGCTCCTGTCACAACTGCTTCCCTCCTCCGCTCCGAGCGCAGGTTCCCAGCACCAACGCTGCCCCTGGTGCACAAGTGGAAGGACATGATCGGCACGGCCTTCTCCCTCGCCATCGTGAGCTACGTGATCAACCTGGCCATGGGGAGGACGCTGGCAGCCAAGCACGGCTACGACGTGGACCCCAACCAGGTAACGCTCGGCCTGGAAGGACGCAGCCAAGGAGCTCTCAGGCGTGAAGGGAAAACCTCACCGCATGAATGGGAGGCTTTCAAACCACCCTGCTCCTGCAGCCGTGCTGCTCCCGTGCATGCGGGCTCACGTGGCAGCTTGCCATGGAGGGGGGAAAGGACGGGGCAGATCCACCTCGTGTGCACGGCAGAGCCTGCAAAGGGAAGGGAGCCTCAGGCTGAGCTCTGCGCCTTGCTGAGGCTCCAGCCCTCAGTGCTGGCAGAGCCGTGTGTTTGCTGTTGTTGGAGCACAACGAGCACGTGTGTTTCTCACCGAGCAAAGACCTGGATTCCTGGTGTGTCACCCAGATACCGCGGGAGGCAGGACATTAAATAATCCTCTTTTGTCATCCCTGGCACAGCGGCAGCTTTCAATAGCAGCCACACATACCGCATGGAGCCCTGCCCTGAGTGCGTCAACACATGACAACGTGTTGATGCGGAATCGGGCTGCCAGGTCTCCCTGCTATAGCAGAGCCCACCTCAGCTCTCATTGCAGGGAAGGGGTCTGGGACACTCAGGCAGCAGCTCTCCTGCCCGGCAGCTCACGCCCTCTGCGCCATCGCTCCTCTCTGATGGCCGTGTCCCTGTCTCCATAGGAAATGCTGGCCCTGGGCTGCAGCAACTTCTTCGGATCCTTCTTCAAAATCCACGTCATCTGCTGCGCTCTCTCGGTCACTCTCGCCGTCGATGGGGCAGGAGGGAAATCACAAGTGAGCACCTTCTCCTCCTCCTCTCTTCCTCACCTGGCCACAGAGGAGCTGCGTGCTGCCGGAGCGCTCCAGGCTGCTGGGGTTAAAGCAGAGCTCCCTCCCTCCCAGCCCCATTTCATTCCCGGGATGATTCTCTGGATCGGTCACTGATGCAGGGCTGTAAATCCCAGCCTGGGCTCCCTGGCGGAGCAGCCCGAGGGAGGGCTGGGGTTATCTGGGGGATCTGCAGAATCCTCACCTCTGTCTTACTGCAGAGGGCAGTTATGCCATGGGCTGGAGCAGCAGGAGACAGAAGCCCGGGGGGTTTAGGAAGGCCCTGGTGTCTCTGCATGCGATTTCTTTCCTCCTTTGCTGCAGGTGGCAAGCTTCTTTGTGGCCATGGTGGTGATGGTGACCATGCTGGCGCTGGGCATCTACCTCGAGCCCCTTCCAAAGGTAACAAACGTCTGTACAAACAGCGTGGCCGCTGCGTCACGCACTCCACGCACCCGAGGGAGGGCAGAGGCTTGCTCCAAACCCCCGATGCAAACTGCTGCCGGCACCAGGGGCTCCTGCCTGATTGCACTGAGGCTCTGCAGGAGAGAGCAGTCTGAATGATCCCACCCAGAGCCCAGCGGCATCTTTGTGTCACCCTTGCCCATCCAGAGAGAGGGCTGGAGCAGCTCTGCTCTGGAGCCAGGCTCAGAGAGCTGGGCTGGGGCAGCCTGGAGAAGAGAAGGCTCCTGAAGGGGAGACCTGAGAGCAGCTCCAGTGCCTGAAGGGGCTGCAGGAAACCTGGAGAGGGGCTTGGGACAAGGGATGTAGGGACAGGCCAAGGGGAATGGCTTTAACCTGCCCGAGGGGAGACTGAGATGAGCTCTGGGGCAGAAGCTCTTCCCTGTGAGGGTGCTGAGGCGCTGGCACAGGGTGCCCAGAGAAGCTGTGGCTGCCCCATCCCTGGCAGTGTTCAAGGCCAGGTTGGACGCAGCCTGGAGCAGTGTCCACCTCCGGGCTGATCCAACCCCATCTCCTCCTCAGTCTGTCCTGGGAGCCCTCATCGCAGTGAACCTGAAGAACTCCCTCAAGCAGCTGGCGGATCCCTTCTACCTGTGGAAGAAGAGCAGGCTGGACTGCGTGAGTGCTGGGCACGGGAGGCAGCGCAGCCACGGCCACGCAGGGCAGAGGCTTCGGGGGGCAGGAGGATGCTCTCAGCCCCCTTGATCTCTTGGTGGGATCTTGGCTTCCAGCCCTTTAGCACCAAGGTCGGGAGCAGCAGCAGAGCCCAGCTGAGCACTCTCACGCTCAGCGCACGGCTCCCAGGGGCCTGAACTATTCCCTGCTCTGGGTAAATGCCAATCAAGCTCGGGAGCCTGTTTGCCCAGAACTAGCCAAACCGGCCCTGCTCGGTGCCGAGTCAGGACCGCAGGAGTCACACAATAGCCCTGCAGGGTGAGGAGAGCCCTTCGCAGTGATAAGGACCCGAGGCAGGGGTTGATGGATAAACCCAGGCAGGGGGTGAGGGGAGCGAGAGCGCGGTTTGGAAGCGTCTGACATAAAGCAGCAGTGTCCGAAGGGCTCCCACGGAGCCAGCATCCCGTCAGCGCCTGGCACACGGCCTGCGGGGGAAACGAGGAGTCCAAAGGGGCTGGGCTGAGTGGAGAGCTGCCCCAAAGCAGTGTTCGGACAGGGCTGGAGATGGGTGAGCAGAGCAGGCAGAGGGCTCACGGGGGGGATCAGGAGGGAAAGGCACCCTCCATCCACACATGGAATCATGGAATGGTTTGGGTTGGAACGGACATTAAGATCATAGAATCATAGAATAGTTAGAGTTGGAAAGGACATCAAGATCATCCAGTTCCAACCTCTGTCACAGGCAGGGATGCCTCACTCCGGACCATGTCACCCAAGGCTCTGTCCAACCTGGTCTTGAACACTGCCAGGGATGGGGCATTCTCCACTTCTCTGGGCACCCTGTGCCAGTGCCTCAGCACCCTCACAGGGAAGAGCTTCTGCCTTATATCCAACCTGAACTTCCCCTGTTTCAGCACTAAGTGCAGGGATCCCTCACAGCCCAGAGTGAAGTCTGCATGGAGGGAAGCCCTTCTTGTCATTTATATGTACAACACATATGAATGAAGATGCTGAAATCAAAATTACCCTGATTTTTCCCAGGTCAAAGTTAGGTTTATCAGGGTTGAGGATGGGATTATAATAACCTGATGGTGATTTTCAGAGGCCATGGTTATATGGATACGGTTATATGAACTGGGTGATCCTGAGGTCCTTTCCAACCCAAAGCATTCCATGATTCTATGAATTCAGGTCCTGGTGTTTTCACCCCGAGCTGGGGTGCAGGCTATCAGCACAGAGCCGTTCTCCATCCCTCACCGTGCCCATGGTAGAGGAAGAGGTTGTGCCATGCTCTTCTCTCCCTGCAGCTGGTCTGGCTGGTGAGCTTCCTGTCCGCCTTCTTCCTGAGCCTTCCCTACGGAGTCGCTGTGGGCGTGGGATTCTCGGTGCTGGTCGTGGTTTTCCATACCCAGTTGTAAGTCCCGGGAGCAGCCCCAAAGAGCAAAAGAGAAGGAAAACCTCACGACAGATTCCTTTGACGAGCGACCTCTGGCCCGTGCGGGGCAGGGACGTGCAGCAGGAGCCCGGGGGAGTGCAGGTGTCCTCCTGGAATGTGCAAACAGGAATGGCAGGCGCTAATTTACTGCCGGCCCTGTGCACATCCCAAGGCAGGGGAAGGCTGAAGGAATTCACTCCAGCTGCCTGCATAGTTCCCAGCAGAAAGCCCTGCTCGGAAGAGGAACGCACCCCGTGGATGTGTGTGAAGGTTTCACACCGGGTTTAATCCATTAAAGCCCTTTATTGACATTTCCCAGCCTGGGATCTCAAACTGCTGGCTCTTTGGGGGTTTTACCCGATAGGCTCTGCAGGGATGAAATGGAAGTGTTTTCATTAAGCCAGTTTTCATCCCCTGCTATGGAACATGGAGTGAAGCAGTTTGCTTCCCCTCCACCACTTACTCTAACTCTGATTGCCCCTTCTCTCCCAGCCGAAACGGCTCTGCCCTGGGCCAGATCACTTCCACTGACATCTACAAGAACCCGAAAGCCTACAACAAGGTAAGCAGAACCCCAGAATGGTTTGGGTTGGAAGGGACCTCAACATGACCCAGTTCCAACCCCTGCCAGGGGCACTTGAGCATCCCTTCTTTGCCACAATGTGGTGAGGACACTCGAGCCCATGAGGTTGGCTGCCGACTGGTTTCAGGGGCAGCAGGAGAGCTGCTGCTCAGTTACCTGCTGCCCCAAGCCCCCATCACCCTGCAGCACCCCAACAGGCCTGGGCTGAGCTCTTGTCTCTGTTGCAGGTGCATGAACTTAATGGCATTAAAATCGTGACCTACTGCTCCCCACTGTATTTTGCCAACTCGGAGATCTTCCGGGAGAAGATCATAGCCAAGGTGAGCGCTGCCCTAATGCCCTTCTGCTTGCAGCCAGCCCCAAACAGCCCTTGCTGTTGCCCCTGGCTATGGGGCTGAACAGACTCTGCCAAAGCAAAGCCTCTTTCCCACAGACAGGGGTGGATCCTGGCAAAGTGTACTTGGCCAGGAAGAAGTACGTGAAGCGGCAGGAGAAGGGCACGGCACAACCACCACCAAACCTACCCAAACTCCTGCTGAGGCAGAACAAGGTAGCTCGGTCTGGGTGTCTGTGTTGAGGAATAAGACCCCAAGTCCCCATCAAACAGCTCCTCTTGACACAGGATTTTCTGCGCTGTCTTCCTGACCACACTTTGCTTCCTTTCCTTCCTGCCTACATCTCCATTCCTCCCAACAGCCTAAACCTTAAGATGCAGCAGAACTGGAAGTGGCTGGGATTAAGAAAGCTCTAGAGATGGAAACGGGGTGAATGATCTGCTAGGAACTGGGCTTGCCCTCTTTCTTTAAAGATGCCCTTTGTCAGCGTTTCAGGTTAGAAGTGCCCTTCTGAAGCACATTTCCCAGCTTCACTGGAGCAGCCTTGAAGCATGTGAACAGGAATAACTTGAAATTAACTCAATGTACTCCAGCCCCAAGGGACACTCAGCCCAGCACCAGGCTGGAGCTAGTCCAGATTAAACCACTTCCTGCCACCGACTGCTTGAGGTGCGTTCACACGTCAGGATCTGGGCTCGCCCTGCCCTCACTGCGCGTTTCTGCTTTGCTGCAGACCCTGTCTTTGCAAGAGCTCCAGAAGGACTTCGAAAGCAGCTCTCCAACTGACACCAACAACAACCAGACGACCGCTAACGGGGCCAGCATCTCCTACGTGACGTTCCAGCCCCCCGGCACCAGCGCTGCCGGCTCCAGTGAGCTGGGCAGCACTAATGCTGTACGAGGAAGCACCTTCCTGCCTGCAGCAGAGCTTGACCCTGTGATGACAGCACCGCCCTACCTCAGCTTCCACACCATCATCCTGGACATGAGCGGAGTGTGCTTTGTCGACCTCATGGGCACAAAGGCGCTGGGCAAGGTCAGTTCTGTTCTCCAAACACAGGCAGGCAACAGGCACCTTCTGGGGCAGCTCCTCTCCATCAGCATTCCCAGGACACGCGGAAAGGCCTGGATAAAAGACTTCTGAAGCAGAAGTGTCATTAATTCACTCTCTCCCTTCTCGTCCCTTCTAGCTGTGTTCCAGCTACCAGAAGATTGGGATTAAAGTGTTCTTGGCAAACGTGCAGGGTAAGAATCCACACAGAACCTATTTCCATGTGATCTCCCCCCATTCGTGTGCCCCTGGCAGGCAGATCTTTTCGTGCTCCTTATGCAAACTGTGTGAGCTGTCAGCCTTTTGATGGACCCAGCTAGCCCAGATGAAAGAAGAGAACAGAAGAAAGGGAAGAGAACCCCTGTTCTGTGTCTGAAGTAGCTCCTTTCACTTGGGAAGGGATACAACTGGAACTTCTCCATGTTTAGCATGTAGGAAAACAGATCCCTGCACTAATTCCTGCAGCAGACCTGTTTCTTCTCCATGCATCCCAGCCCTGCTTTAGCTCAGAGGACCACTGTCAGCCTTTGGAGGCTTCCTTCTTTGGTTTCCTTCTTGCTCATGGGTCTTTCCTTCCTTCAGCCCAGGTTTACAATGACATTAGCACAGGAGGAGTCTTTGAGGAAGGGGGCCTGGACCGAAGTCACCTCTTCCTAACAATCCATGATGCTGTCCTCTTTGCACTGGCAGATATCAAGGAAGTTGTCCACCCGCCCAGCTTAGAAGAGGTAAATTTGCTCCCCAGGGTTTCTGCAGCTCACAGGACTCTACTGTGAGGTTTACTCATGCACAGAGGCAGAATAACCCAATACTGCACCCTTCTTCCCTATCTCAAGTGGTAAAGGTCTAAATCCTACAAAACATTTCATCTCCTAATTCTGACGTATGGGCTGGCACCTATGGATTGAATTGATTCAATCCCTATCCAGATGAATGTTGTCCTAGCCCGGAGAAGCCAGAAGAGCTGTTCCAACACTATGCTCCCATTTGGTGGTGTCTGGGATATGCAGCTGCATACAAAAGCAGAATTTGACCCCCAGACATGAAGGCAAAGCACATTCACCAGTGCTGGAATAGCCCCAGCATCCCTGCATGCTCCCCTTGGTGGGAGGAGGAAAGGCTGAGGCAGGGATGTGGCACATACTCACAACACAAGCTACTTCCCCAAATGCAGGCTGGTTTATTGCATGGTAACTGGAGCTGGAAGCAGGGCAGTGTCAGTCAGTTATCCCCTGAGAACAAGGGAAGGTATCTCCTATCTCAGCAGAGAGATATCTACGTGCCAGCTCAGCCAGAGGAGATAAACCCCTGCAACGGGATTCCTTCTGTGCCTCTTCTTCCTGGGCACTTCCCTGGGAGCACGTGGGATGTTTTAAGCCTTTTTCATTCCTTTCAACCCCCCCCTCTGCTAATTCATGGGTTTGATTCTCCCCGGCACAGAGGCCAGACCAGACAGAGCTCTCCATCTATGATGAGTCTGCGGATGAAGGCAGCACAGAGTTCAAGAACCTGGAGGAGGTGAGCTCCAGGGCCAGGGTCACTCGTTCAGCTGTGGACATAAGGTGGCAATCAGAAGCTGTGGTCGGGATTGATGGGGTGGGCAGTCCCCTGTGCCAGGCAAACTGCTAGACACAGAAATGCTTTAAATAGCTGAACCCTGATTTAAAACCCCTGTCATGAGCTCTGGCAGGCACCTGCATGAGGAGCAGCCCTGGTTCCCCACAGGGCAATCCTTCAATCCAGTCTGGGTCACACAGTCAGACCTGTGGTCTCCACGCACTGGGGTGAACTTGGAGAACCAGGTTTAGCTCAAGCCCAACAGTCCCTGGACAAGTTTTCCAGCAGGCTTTGTTAATGCTGAAGTTATCTGCACCCACTGAACCCGGTCCATGGGAGGAGACACATTCCAGCGCTGACCTTCCCCATGCTATCCATGCACGGCTGGAAGCACAGTGACCTCCCTGCCTCCAGCTTTCCCTTGCGGAGCAGGGCTGGGAAGGGCTGGAGTTCCTGCCCTCATTCCCCTGTGTGACCAAATGACTTCTGAGCTGTGCTGCTGGGTGTGTGCCACCCATCGGCCCTAACCCAGAGTGTCTTGTGTGCCCTTCAGGAGATGTTTGGCAGCATGTTCCACTCAGAGACCCAGACAGCTCTGTGAGCACACAGGGAGCCTCAGCACAAGGCAAACCCTCCCAAAGAGCCTCCTCTCTCCCATCCCCTCGTGAAGAGCTGCACTTCTGCCTGGGGGATACAACAAGTTTGCAAAGCAAGAGGCCATCACCCCTCTTGAACTGGTACATTCCTCCCTCCATCCTGCTCTACTTCTGGTCTTGAGGGCAGCCTACAGAAACAGTGTGGAACCAGGAACTCAGGAAACGCCACCCCATGAACTACAGAAGTGCAGTGAGTTCGTTCCAAGGCAGGTGCCTTAACACAGAGGACAATTACTCGCTATTGCCAAGGGACCCAGCAGTCAAACTGAGATCTGAGTGTATTTTATGCCTGCAACTGGGGGGCAGCCCGAGTGAGGCCAGGACCATCCCAGGCAAAGGAGCTTGCCTCCCTAACGCAGAGCCAGGCAGCTGGGAGCTTCATCATCCCCAAGTCTGACGTTCTCTTCTATTGGAGTGATGCTAATAACAACTGCTATTCTAGTTTCCTTTCCTGATGCCTTCCCTTCTTACCCAGTGCTGATGTGGAGACAGTAATGACAAGATGACAATATGAAGCCTGGAAAATCAAAGCATAAGCCAAGGCTTAAAGCACCCCTTTCTTCAGTGCATTTCAACCGCCAGTATGGCTTTTATGGCAATAAGATTAGAAAAGATTTAAGATAAAGACACATTGGAATGAAAACCATTTCCCTTGTTTGAACTGCGAATCTTCCTACAGAGTATTGCCAGCACTGGGGTAAAATGCAAGAGTCAACAAGAGAAAGTGAACAGTAATGGAAGCAAAAGTGGACAGTTTGTGATCTTCACATGAATGCAAAAAATAATGGCCTTAATAATGAAAGTAAATTATAATTTAAGAAGCTATTTTATTTCTCTATTAAAAATACCAGCAAGCTTTAATGCACAGGTTTGAGCTACCTATCCATTATTGAGCTGATTCCCCAGCACATTGCTAGAAGGCTTTGGGGCGAAACTGGGGCTTTCCTCCAGCTCCCAGATGTCTCCTGTAAGGAAACCAGAACTTCATGCACCATCACACACACTCATCCAAGGAAGCAAGAGCAGGACCTTGCTGCTTTGGTTTTAGGTACCTAAGTCACCATTTCTCTACCTCAGTTTCTGATTATGTGGTGCAGGAGAGAAATACAACCAAAGAGGGTTGGTTTCCAGCAGGAAAACCCCACCAAGTAATGGTTATTGCTTATTTTAATCTTAGACAGCAGTGCTTTTCCCGGAACCATGTATATAGCTTGTTCTAGAGGTAAAATAGAGATGAATTCTCTTATATTACGCATGGCAATGAGTATGGTAATGGTCATGGTGATTACTCATGGTCTCTTGCTACTGCCCGAGCACTGCTTTCACTTGCTCACTGGAAGAAAGCAACCAAGCCATCGGTGCAATGAACAAGAAACTCTCCTGCAGCAGCAGATCCATGTTTCTGTATCTCTGAGGTGCAATCGCACATCAGTGGGCAAACAGCCTTGCTGCAGGAACAGTCTCCATTTCCAGGTGCATGGGGAAGTGAATCAGGGAAGCTGAAATCAACGCCGGGGTCGGAATATCTGCGTTTCCAGTGTCCTTTATTGCTCTCAAAGCCAGCGATGCTGATGTGTACCGGCTCCGAAGCCTCACTCGATGAACGCGGATGTACAACCAGCTCAGAAATGTTCGTAATTTATTTAATTTAATGTTGGTTTCATCCTTTCTTTTTTGATAATAAAGAATGTGTGAACACCCATCTGCTGCTGCTGAGCTGAGAGCGGGCTCCCCGCAGCTCCCATCCAGGATGCGGCACCTCGGGACACGTTATGCCGTGAAACCAGGCAAGGAGCACGGATTGGAGCGGGACAGCACTGTCACCATCCCACCCCACTGACGCTGTCCTCCTGCCTAACCTGTGCCCCTACAGCCCCTCCGCACGGCCACCTCTTTTACCCTCAGGCACACTGCGGGAGCAGCATCCTGAGCCCTGCGCTGTCAGCGGGCTCCGGACACGCTCTGAGCCACACTGAGGGGATGCTCCCGTTCTTGCTCGGATGCGGTTCATCACGGCCCCAAACCATCCCTTTGACACAGGAAAGACACGGCTCCATGCACAGAACCCAACACCTCCATCCCGTCCCCAAACCGTCCCTTTGACACAGGAAAGACACGGCTCCATGCAGAGAACCCAACACCTCCATCATGGCCCCAAACCGTCCCTTTGACACAGGAAAGACACGGCTCCATGCAGAGAACCCAACACCTCCATCATGGCCCCAAACCGTCCCTTTGACACAGGAAAGACACGGCTCCATGCACAGAACCCAACACCTCCATCCCGTCCCCAAACCGTCCCTTTGACACAGGAAAGACACGGTGCACAGAACCCAACCCTTTGACACAGGAAAGACACGGCTCCATGCACAGAACCCAACACCTCCATCATGGCCCCAAACCGTCCCTTTGACACAGGAAAGACACGGCTCCATGCAGAGAACCCAACACCTCCATCATGGCCCCAAACCGTCCCTTTGACACAGGAAAGACACGGCTCCATGCACAGAACCCAACACCTCCATCCCGTCCCCAAACCGTCCCTTTGACACAGGAAAGACACGGCTCCATGCACAGAACCCAACACCTCCATCATGGCCCCAAACCGTCCCTTTGACACAGGAAAGACACGGCTCCATGCAGAGAACCCAACACCTCCATCCCGTCCCCAAACCGTCCCTTTGACACAGGAAAGACACGGCTCCATGCACAGAACCCAACACCTCCATCATGGCCCCAAACCGTCCCTTTGACACAGGAAAGACACGGCTCCATGCACAGAACCCAACACCTCCATCCCGTCCCCAAACCGTCCCTTTGACACAGGAAAGACACGGCTCCATGCACAGAACCCAACACCTCCATCCCGGCCCCAAACCGTCCCTTTGACACAGGAAAGACACGGCTCCATGCACCCATGGCCCCAAACCGTCCCTTTGACACAGGAAAGACACGGCTCCATGCACAGAACCCAACACCTCCATCATGGCCCCAAACCGTCCCTTTGACACAGGAAAGACACGGCTCCATGCACAGAACCCAACACCTCCATCATGGCCCCAAACCGTCCCTTTGACACAGGAAAGACACGGCTCCATGCACAGAACCCAACACCTCCATCATGGCCCCAAACCGTCCCTTTGACACAGGAAAGACACGGCTCCATGCACAGAACCCAACACCTCCATCCCGTCCCCAAACCGTCCCTTTGACACAGGAAAGACACGGCTCCATGCAGAGAACCCAACACCTCCATCCCGTCCCCAAACCGTCCCTTTGACACAGGAAAGACACGGCTCCATGCAGAGAACCCAACACCTCCATCCCGGCCCCAAACCGTCCCTTTGACACAGGAAAGACACGGCTCCATGCACAGAACCCAACACCTCCATCATGGCCCCAAACCGTCCCTTTGACACAGGAAAGACACGGCTCCATGCACAGAACCCAACACCTCCATCCCGTCCCCGACACCCGACCGCCGCCATTGCCACCGGGCCCGGCAGCGGCTCCCACGCGCGAGCGGAGGGGGCGGGCCCAGCACGCCCATTGGCCACGCTCCCGGGCGTGGTGCGTGACGATTGGTGCTCGCCCCCGCCTCAGCCGGGGCCCGGCGGCGGGGTGAAGTCCGCCGGGGATGGCGGGCGGGAGCGGGCGGCGGCGGGCGCTGCTGGCGGCGGGCCTGGCCGCGGTGGCCGCGCTGCTGGCGGTGCTGGCCGCCGTGCTGCTCCGCGCCTACGTGCTGCGGGCCCCGGCCGTGCCGCGGCTCTGGGCCCGCCGCGGAGCCCCCGCCGCCTTCGGTGCCGGCGAGAGGCTGGAGCTCAAGGCGGCGCTGCGAGGTGAGGGGGCCCGGCCGGGCCCGCCCGCCCCTGCGCTGCGCCTGCCCGTGGGTGCCGCAAGCCCCGGCCTCCGTTTTCATGGGGTGCCCCGGGGCTGTGCGGTTCCCTCCGCAGGGGGAGGCAGGGCCACGGGGGGAGCGCACTGCGTCCGTACCCTCAGCTGCCGGGTGGTTTTAGGGAGGCTGTGACTGGGACCCGCGTGTTGCATCGCAGTGATTCGGTGTTGGAGCGCGGCCTTGTCTGCCCCTGTTCTAACGACAAAGACAAACGAGACCTGTCTTTATGAAACAACCTGTTAGCACGGCCCCACTGTTGAAAAAGAACCTTGAACTGCCGTCTGGCAGCTGCCAGAATAGGCTGTGACTATGAGGAACTGGGTCACCCAGCAAAACGCAGCTGCTTCTGGGCAGTGGCGTTTGTGACAGCATCATTCAGCACATTAGGATGAAGAATGAAGTATCTGGGGAAATACCTTGGCTGGCACTGGAAGGAAGTACTCGTGTGCTGCTTGCACACAGCTCAGCTCAAGCACAGCAGTCTCTTTTGGTAGTGGCAGCTTTTCCTGTCCTGTGCGATAATCCTTAAAGCCTGGAAAACATTCGGGAACAGAAATATTCCTTTCCCTTTTGACATGCAATTTAAGTCTTGTTTGGCTGATTTCCGTGTCGAATGATTTCTATTTCATATTCCGTTGAAGGTGCCATTAAAATCCCAACTGTTTCCGTATCTCCAGAGGACTTGAATACAACTGCCATGGCAGAGTTTGGGAATTACATTCGGAAAGGTACTAAACTCATTCTTAACCACCTCTGCTGTTCAGTTTTCTTTTAGTAAATGGAGAGTACATATGGGGTTCTTGCCTAGAATGGAAGAAGCTTAAAAAGCTTTGTTTTCCTCCAGAAAGGACTGGCAAAACCTCTGTACCATGCAGTGATGTAGCATGGCCAGAGCTAGAACAGAGAAGGTTCAAATGGCTTTTTGCAGTGGTGGGGTTTGGTTCTTGACTTGGTTAAATGACCTTTTTAATTCCTTTCTTCACAGTCTTCCCAGCTGTGTTTTCTTCAGAGTTCATCCAACATGAAACTGTTGGTGACTACAGCCATCTCTTTACTGTCCAGGGTTCTAACCCTCAAATGATGCCCTACATGCTGCTTGCACACATGGATGTTGTGCCTGCTCCCCCGGAGGGTTGGGAATTCCCTCCTTTCTCAGCTGCAGAGCATGAAGGATTCATCTATGGACGAGGAACTCTGGATAACAAAAACTCTGCCATAGTACGTCGCCTTGGTAATATCATTTCAGAGAGATACAGAGCCTGACAAAAGGTAGATTGGAGGGATCTGTTCTCTTGAAACTCACTGTATTGTTTCTCCTGCCCCTCTTTGCCCTATGTAAATTGTGTATCAAATGCTGTGTTTGAAGTCAGGGGTAGACCTTGTGCACTTTCCCAGGTGTCATATGGGCATTCAGAGCCAAACTTGGCCCTTTGCAAAGGCTTGAGTTTCAAAATAAACACTGTTGATTTAATATTAGAGTCAAATACCGTCTAGCCTGTGGCAGAACAAAGAGCTGTTGTACGAAGTACATTTGGGAGGAATAAAGTCTGGAAAAGATTGCTCTGTGAAGGGTTTCTCATTTGGGAAAAGCCTGATGGAAAAATTAATAAGGAAAATAGTCCTTTGTGACTTGCAAAGATCATTTCCGTGGCAGCCCTCTATTTCAGTTTAAATAGATGTTTAGCAAAGCAGTGTCCCACAGCCGCCTGTGGCTGCATAGACCATGTTCCTTGAAAGTTTCTTGAGGTTGTTTAATCATCAATATCAAAGCCTTGCAATTTACGGCCTTGGTTTGATGCTTCCTTCTACTGTGAAGTGCATGAGTAACTCCACAAGTGGACAATAACAATGAACAGTTGCAGTGAACATGGCAAGGTGGGAGCTGGCAAGGTGGAGGCAGTGTCATTTCTTCTAAGAGAAGAGATTAGCTTAAATTTTAAAACCAGGCAAGATGATACCAATACAGCAAATGGGAGATTTCGTTTCTCTTTCTGTTTCTGCCATCTTAGCACTTCTTGTACAAATTGAGTTCTCATTCATATAAATGGATTTGGAAGCTCAAGTCGGAGCCAAGCTGCGTGTTGGACAGGCAGCTTAAGGAACAGAGAGTTCCTTGGATAATCCCAACTGTGATGGGCTTCCTGTGCAGTTTGTCCCTGACTTCACCATCAGCAAGAACAAGCTGACACTGTATTTTGTGTATGCACACTGTCACTGTGTAGCACACCAAGTCTTAAACATTAGTGATCAAAACTATTGCAGTGTGTTTCCCAAAGAATGTGAACATCCCCAGTAGGAGCTGTACAAATAAAAGCTCAACTGTGAACAGGACAAAGTCTCCTTAAGGGCTGTGAATGCATCGTGTTTCTTTGACATCACATTGCATTCTTTCATGCTTATTCTCCTTTCTAACACACAAGAATAGTATAATACATTCTGTTTTTTTTTTTTCTGCAGGGGATTCTGCAAGCTCTGGAGTTTTTGCTGCGAAGAAATTACAGACCCCAGAGATCTTTCTATGTTGGTATTGGCCATGATGAAGAGGTATTTTCTTTCACTGAAATAACAAGTTGTTTGAGTTGTTCATGTATGTAACAAGGCTTAATTTTAAAACATTGTTTACCTAGAAAGTCTTTCCTGGTTTTCTGGGTTATGTGGGTAGATCCTGTGTCAGGTACGTGGGCATAGTTAATATTGATCATTTGGCTTTACGTGACATTGACAAAGGGGTTGGTGTGATGAGCAAAGGGAAAAGAACACAGGAGGGTGCTAGTGCAAATTCTTTTCTGCACAGAAGGTGCAGCAGAAGTCACGTTTTGGAGTCCATGTAGTACAGGAAAGGCTGGCTTAAGATTTACATGCTTGTTCCAAATGGTCAGGAAGAGCAACCAGAAATGTTCGCTGTTTGTTCTGGCAATGCCCACTGGTGCAGAGAGACAGATGAGGTGGGTTTCTTTATTCATGTTCGAAATAGGAAGAATTATTAATACCTCTTTAAAAAGACTGACCTGTGGAGCTCATGGCTCTGATGTATCACCATATCCAAGAGCCAAGGGTTCACAGCAGTGTTCAGTGGCGTTCCCCAATGTGGATACAGATTCATCTGCTACTGGGCCATTAATGGTCTCCAGTGATTCTGCTGGGAAGGATGGAAGGATCTCCTGACAGGTTGCTCTGGAGCTGCTTACTAGGGGATTTCTGGCATTCTTTGCATTGTAGCACTGGGCACTGTCAACAGCAAGATGTTTTCCAGTGTCCTTCCCAATGGGGTGGTTTCACCTGATGCGTTCCTCTGGCTGATTCCCACAGGTGTTTGGTCGGAAGGGAGCGATGGAGATGGCAGCTCTGTTGGAAGCACGAGGAGTGAAGCTCTGCTTCTTGCTGGATGAGGGCAGTGCCATACTAGATGGCATCGTCACAGGGGTGAAGAAGCCAGTAGCTGTGTAAGAGAGAACACGTTGACTATGGTGTAAATGACCCATTTTCAAGAATTAATCTGTAAGAAATGACCTTGCTAATGGCAATAAAATACATTGCCAAGGCATGTGGCAGTGTTGATGCTGCTAAAAGCTACAGCAATGCACAAATTGCAAGCAAAGGACCTTTGGTGTTTGCTTGCTGTCCATCACAGCTGTGCTGACAGCAGCAGAAAGCTCCATTTAGCCAGGACATGCATGCTTTTGCTGTAGTGTCTACTCACTGGAGAAGCAGCCAAGACATTAGCCCTCGTGTTGAGGATTTGATGTTGCTGCTTCTTTAGTGTTTTTTATGATCCTAAAAATACACAGTGTAGATCTTTTTGCCTGTGGTCTATGCATGTGTTTTTAGTTGCATTAATCATTTACTTCTTTATCATTGGACAGAATTGCTATCACAGAAAAGGGCTCAATAACACTGAACTTCACTGTGGAAAAAGAGCCAGGACATTCATCCTTTCCTCCAAAGGAGACAAGTATTGGCATTCTTGCAGCAGCAATGACCAGGTGAGAGCTTCCCTGTCATCTGACATCCAAGAGAGTTCAGCAGGCTCCTAAGTCACTGATAAGTGGCTTGTTAAATAGTTATAGTTTGCAAATTCCCAAAATACATTGAAACTTGTAACTCCCTTTGCAATGCAATCCTGAGCAAAGGGACAATTGCCAAGTAAAATAGTCAGACTGTGACTGGGGAAATCATCTCTGTACATGTCTGTGTGGATAGCAGATTGGCTCATAAACATGTCTTTTAGAAAAACTTAATATGTCAAGATGTGATGGAATTCGGTGTGGTATTTTTCTAGATTTACATGTATTCCTTATAAGTGTCAGGCTTTGGGATTTTTTCAGCTGTTCTTCAAAGAAAGACTTTGTATGGGACTGGAATGCTCAGGCATCAGTCAGGGAGCTGTGCTTGCAGATGTACTTATCAGGAGAGGACAGTGTGATTGCATCTCAAATCCATGGATGCATTTCAGAAATCAAATTCCTATCGACCTTCTGGAGTGACAATAGTCAGAGGGGATCTAAATGCCACATGTTGGTGTGCTTTGCCATAGACTGGAGCAGAATCCCTTGCGGAACCTGTTTGGCCATGGGCCAGAACTCATGACTATGGAGCACCTCGCATCAGAGGTGAGGAAAGAACTATGATTTCATATTAGAAAGTGAAGAGCATATGAATTTCGAGTGTAGTTACATAGTTTCTGGAAAAAGGGAGGCTTAACCTGGCCTTTCCCCCAGGTAATTGTTTCAACAAGAGCTGAGTGACTATGCATTGTCTTGAAAACTAGAAACCTTCTGATTTGTGGTTTTATTTCTTCCACTTAGTTCACGTTTCCCCTCAATCTCATCATGAGCAATCTGTGGCTGTTTTCCCCTGTTGTCAGCAGGTAAGAAAATACATTCTTGGTAAGCATTCCCAGACCTCTCACCCTTCAAAGATGAAGCTCAAAAGCCATTTCTAGTCTTTCCAGCAAATAGTCCTACCACTTCATAGCTTAGACAGTGTCAGTGCTTTCCTGTTAATAACCACTTTGTTAACTGAATAGGCCATTATTCAACTTATTGCCTATGGAATTATGGTGCTTCTGGTTTACTGATATTAAACTTCTTTCTTGTTTCTTTCTTGTAAGAGTTCTTGCCTGGAAACCTTCCACCAATGCCTTGATTCGAACGACGACAGCAGTGACAATGTTTAACGCAGGAATCAAGGTAGCTTCATTTTGACCTTTCTCTGTGTAGTACCATGAGAGAATTGGGGCATATAGTTTGCACCTATTTATACCTAGTTATAAGATCAGCATGGACCCTGGTCTTGGACCCTTTGCAGTGTCACCACCAGTCTCATTTTTACTCCAGGTGTGGCTTGGTTTTAGCCACAGTTGAATATTAGCTCCTTCCAGAAGTTATCTGCTGTCTGTCACAAAAAGATCTCTGTGAAGTAGTGTTAAGATTTTAGGGTGGAAAAGAGTATTTTCTGTGTAATCATACAAAGTATCAATGTCAGTATTTGAAACTCACTGTCCTAAACACTTTCCTAGCCCAGATGGGGTTGTGTTTGTGAGCACAGGTCTGCCGTTTACCTCCGTTCAAGTATGGAGCGTGCACCTTGGACCGAGTGATAACAGGTTCTGGCTGATACAGCCAGATCTTGCCCTGATAAGGAGGTGTAGCTATCCAAAAATACTGTAGCCCTGGAAGATAAGCAGGCTGTTTGGTGTGTCCCTGAAAAATCTGTTACTGAAAAGCACCACTGGACAAGAAAACAAGATGCAGTGGCTGAACAGTGACACTGAGTGGCCAGGACAGAAGTGACACCCTGTTTTCGTCTTTTCGTTGTTGTTTTTTTTTTTCCTTACAATTCATACCTTTTTTGTTTAACAAAAGTATAAACATTGATTCTGTAGAAAAAGAGTCTTCAGTAACACCGTTTAAATGAGTTACATGTCTCATACTGGGGAAAAGTAATATGAGGATGAGGTACAAATAGTGCTTAAAAAGACTTCCAGGATTTCTCAGTATGAGGTTCCTGAGGGGACAGGGCTTTTCTCAAGAGGAAAACTTGTATCTATCAGCAAACTTAATTTCTTGTTGAATTGATGAATATTTCTTTGTGGATTTATCTACATTCTAGATGAGATGTACAGTGTTTTAACAGAGAGTACAGAAAGATATCCCACATTTCATGTTAGTGGAAACAGTGAAGCATGAGGCTGGAGTTGTCTGAGCACTTTCTGAGTTTGCACTTGGCATTTTAATCTGGTTTGAACTTCCTTTGAAGTGTTGGTTCTTCCTTTTTTTCTTTCTAGCTAAATGTCATCCCATCTTCTGCAAAAGCAACTGTGAACTTCCGCATCCACTCTGCAGAGAAGGCCACCGAGGTACTTCCAGCCTTACAGCGACACTTGGCCATTTCATCTCCCCCTGTATTCATACAAGCAGTAGGAGGGGATGATTTGGGAATTGCTCCTTTATGAAGACTGTCAGAAACACAGCCTATCAAATGCCTTTTCTCCTCCTTTGAGACGGATTACAAAGTGCATTGTTTACTGTGGCTTCTGAATGTGGAGCAGAGCAAGAGGCATGGCTTGCAGTTATATCGAGCAGGTTTCAGAAGCCTTTTTGTGCCAAAAGAGCACATGGATCATATGTGGTTATGAAATGGAAGCATGAAGGTTTGTGACCTGTGAGAATATGGGAATCTTGTACATCTCAGTGGGTATGAAACATTTGACAGTAAATAACATCTTCCCTTCCCGAGCTTTTCTGGAAGTTTACCTCTCTGGAAGCTTTTCCTGGATTAGTTACTTCAATGACCCAACTACCAAGTTGTCAGGACTGATGCAGTCCAAGAATACCTTGAGACAATGATGTGCATCTGGTTACACTGGGGTCAAAACCAATTACCTTAAGTATCAGCCATTGACTGAGAGGAAGAGAGGCTGCCCCCAGTTTGTCCTAATTCTGCAGCTGTATTTGGCTGACAAATGCTCTCTGGAAAGTGAACCATTTGTGGCCATCTCTCTCATTTCTTTGGCTTATTTAATGCCTGTCTTTATACCCACAGGTGCTAGAGACAGTTAGAAACATCATTGCTGACGACAGAGTGAAGATTGATGTTGTGGAGGCGTTTGACCCACTGCCCACCAGTCCTTGGGATGACCAGTCATTTGGAGTCCATATTTTCCAAAGGACCATTCTGGATACTTTCCCAGATGTTGACAGTGTAGTCCCAGGTAACAGCAAGCACAGGATGATGATTGTTTCCTCTCCAGCTTCCACCCTGCTTTGCTCTCCCTCATCCCCCACTGTTGACTTGTTTCCATGTTGTGTGTACTCCTCCACCCCAGCTGTTAACTGCTGGAAACAGCTGTTTTTTCCTCTTGATTCCCTTCCCTCTTTATGTTTTCAAAGTTTTCATGTTGTTTTTTAGTAGTGGAAGTACAAAAAGCAAACAGGAAACTGACAGGAACAATGAGCCTTCCATTTAACTCTGCACATACAAAGGAATCTCCTCAGGGAAGAAAGGAATTGTGAGGGAGAGTAGGAGGTCTTCTTGCTTTAGGTCTTCTTTTATTGTTTTCATAGCTGGCAAAGCCATTCCTGCTTTTCTGTATTGTGATTCCAGCCCCTTCCCTTCCTCACAGCTCCTTCCTAGTTCTGTACTGTTTGACTGCAGTTTGATGCTTAAGCTTTAGTGTCTTGGGTGTTCTTACAATGATTGAGTCATACATTCAGCTCTTAGTGAATGTGCTTCCAGGATGTACCAATAAGCTGTTCCCAGTGCTTTTTGGGGGATTATAAAGACCTGTTAATCAGATGCCTTTCCTTTCTCCTGGGAAAAGTGGGGCTCATGAAATTGCTGCTCTCATGCAAAGTAAAGCTGAGGTTTGTGTTCCAGGCACGTGCATCGGGAACACGGACAGCAGACACTTCACTAACATCACAAACGCTATTTACCGCTTCAACCCGCTGCTCCTGAGCTCAGATGATCTCCCCAGGTACTGTCTGTGTGCACGTGGGCAGCAGTTTGGGGTGGGGACCTTGGAAAGAGAAGATGATCAGTGTTTGGCAGAAGGAAACCCAACCTTGTGTACCTTGGCGTGGTGGCAGCACTGCCTCACATTCCATTAGGCCATCCATTTCCTGCAGACCTGGGTGCTGCACAAAGAGGGATGGACGGTAGTTAATGCTGGGAGAGCTTTAGCACTTCTTCTTCACCTCACATGCAAACATGACCTCATGTAGGTGTCCCAGTGGGCACAGCAGCAATGCTGAGAAGCTCACTGGATCCTTTATGCAGTGCAGCAGAGTGGAAGGTGGTGTTCTGATAGCTGGCCTTGTTTGAGAGTTGTATCCATCTGTTTGGACACATGCCACTCTGAATTTACTTGCTTCTTAAAGCTGGAAGTTAGGTTTCCTGGAGCAAAGTGATAACAAAGAACATCATGCAAGGGACTGTTTGCTTATTTAGCACGTACTGGATTTGTTGGTTCAGTGAGGTGCAGATGATACAGGAGGAGAGCTCTTGTAGCCAGGACAGTGACATGAATAGGCAGGGAGATGGAATACTGTTTATTCCTGTCTGCATACACCATGAACTTGGTTGTGCTCTTAGCCTTAAAATCAGTCAATTTGGTTGCCCTGAGGAACAGATATTGCAGTATTTGGTGTATTTTGCTGTATTTTGATGTTGTGCATTGCGTTATGAAGCGAACAAGCAAGTAGGGTGCTGGGTGCATGCAGATGGGTCACAAACACACACTGGACTGAAAAACATTCTTCTTTTTACTTCCAGGATCCATGGGTTGAATGAGAGGATCTCAGTTGAGGGTTACGAGAAGCAGGTCGAGTTCCTCTTCCAGCTCATTCAGAACTGTGACACTGAGAAGCTGCCGGAGCCTCACGCCAGCTCCCACGAGCTGTGAGGAGCACCCCTGAGAAGAGCAACTATTGAGGTGGATGAGGGGATGGAGGGGTCTGTGCTTGTGTTTCATACTAAGCTGCATCTGGACTTTGGGGATTGTATATTGTGATTTCCATACAGATGGAAAAACTGCTGGTTCCTGCTTTAGGTTGTGGTTTGCTGGACACAACACAACAACTGACCCTGATTCCTGCTCCTCCTGTGACTTCCAGCCACTAATAATGGTATTAATTTTTTCAGCACTTTCTTTAAGCCTCTGAAATTGGCAGTCACTTAAATCTGAGCTATGATCAGCAGTCACTCACCTGCCAGTAAAAGAGGTGAATCTTCTGCGGGTGCTTTTGTTAACTCATTTGATGCAGTTAATGGATTCCTCACAGATGCTGTGTGTGTCAGCTCACATGGAGGGGTTGTGCCACGCTGCGGGTTTCATGTGTTTGGCAGAGTTACTCCAAGGGTTTGCAGCCCTGCTGCTTGGTGGGGGCTTCTTCCCCAGGTGATGCTTTCAGCCAGTGGTAACTTGCTCCCCCTGCGTTCTCCCATGCGTGCACTGATTTCTGCCTCTAGTTTAAAATGAAACTGAGCTCTGGAAGTCCCAGTGAGTTGCTTTAACTGTTGTCGCCCTGATCTCATAGGAGCTGAAAGCTTTTCTGTCTCTTCAATGACTTTGTGTCTGTCTCTCACTCCTTGGCATGGCCATGGGTGTGTTGTGTGGTGGGTGGTGGAGCGAGGAATAGCAAACTGCATCACTGTTGTCTGCTCCTGAATCACCTTCTGCAGTGTGTGTTTCTCTTGCTCCTGTGAGAACTTGCTTGGGAAGGCTGGTGAAGCCCTTCAGTTTCTTCAGTGCAGCAGGAACCTTTGTTCCTTCACTGCCTGTGCCAGCAGTTTCACTTAGTGCCGCAATTCTGTTGACTCAGCTCTTTGGGACTCCTGGTGTAGACATTTGATGTTGCCTGTTTCATCTTGCACTAGCACTAGTCTTTGTTAGCACTAAAAGCTTAAGCATTCTTTTGGCCTTCAGAGTCTCTTTAGTTGAGGTTACCGTTATTCATTAAACAAAGAATTAACAACTAGATGTGAGCCAAAGATGAGAGTGGGTGAAAGCTGACCTGCAGGTACTAGTGCAGCTCCTCCTGTTGCACTGCTGCAGAGATGTGTCTCTCTTTCAGAACTTGAATTATACACTGGAATGGGTGGTGGTTCTGCTCTAAATTCATAGTGTAAAAGGTACTGGAATGTACAGGAAAAACCCCGAAGTGTATCCTGAAAAGTAGTGATGGAACTGTAATTCCTGTTCTTTCCATCCCCCATTCTCTTATTTATTTGCAGTCTGATCTTATCAGCCAATGAGCTCGAGCTGTATCCATCTGCTAAATCACTGAAACCACACTGGCATTTTCATCTAACAAAACAAGGAATGCAGACTCTTTCCTGATGATTATTCAATCTTTTAATGGAACTATATAATTGCAATACAGTCATTTCCACACCTGATTCGACACGAGAGCAAGTCCTAAAGTTTCCATCAAAACAAATCCACACATTTTCCAGCCTGCTTTAATCTTTGCGCCCTTCCTGGTGCTCCCCTTTCTCTACCAAATGAGCTCACTCTGTTTATGCATTACTGGGTAGTAAATAGCTTGCATCTTTTAGGGTTTATTTCCCTTTTACTGTTTGCCCTGATGTCATGGATTTGTTTAGCCACGTGTCTGCAGCTCTTTTGTGAAGGTGTCAGTCCTCTTGCAGACTCCTGCTGCAGACACAGCAAAAGCCATGTGTGAGGGTACAGCACAGCATCAAATACATCCCTGGCAGTGAGAGGGGGAGGAAGGTTTTGTTGTTTGGTTTGGTTTTTTTCCTCTGGAAAGTGTGTATAAAGATGACTGAGTCTAAAGCCATCACTTTGCCTCTAACAGTATGGAGTTAACACTGTTCAGCATCTTCATTCATGACCTGGGTGATAGGACAGTGTGTCCTCTGAAATGTTTGCAGGCTTTAACCTGCCAGAGGGGAGACTGAGATGAGCTCTTAGGCAGTTCTTCCCTGTGAGGGTGCTGAGGCACAGGGTGCCCAGGGTCCTAAAGACATAAAACATCCTTTCTATTTGCAATCTGCTGTCCCCAACCCCAAATCACTGCTGTCTCTGCTCTGTGAGGACTGTTTCTTTAAAGGATGTTCATCTGAAGATCCATTTTGCTGCTGAAGGGAGAGTGAAGGGCAAACAGCCCTGTGAAAGCAGGCTTGGTTTGGCAGGTCCTGTGCAAGTGTGTGCCATGAGGTTTTGCTAATGCAGCTTGTTGCAGAACCTCACCGAGCACTGCTCATCAGCCTGCACTGCGTAGATGCTCAACAGAGCTTTACTACCTGAAAGCTATCAAAACCCTAAGGGGGAGTTGAATGCTGTTGGTATTCGTGTAGCATGTTCCTGTATTCCATCCACAGCAACTTCCTTTCCTTCCCTGCCTGGAGCCAAGTCTCCAAAGCTGCCATTCTCCTGACAACAGTTACTCAAAGTGTCCCATCTGTAGCTGTCCAGCCAGAGCAGGCTGCTGGGGAGCAGGGCAGCTGATTTAGGGTCATGAGGGCTGCTACACCCTGGAGAAAAGGTCACGTTCCACACCTGCATTTTCTAAAGAAAGCTGTTGCTGGCTTCTGTTTCAAAGGGCTTGGGTTATTTTCAGCTCTGAGTGACCATGGAGAGCTCAGGCACAGAGCTGGAGGAGAATACAGGAACAAGGTGTTTACAGGGCTGTTTCCTCCAGCCTTGCATTTGACATTTGCATTCTTGGCTCCTTTGCCATATTCCTGGTGTTTCAGGGAGCTGGTGATATCCATTTTCTCAAGCAAGTGCTGGGAAAGCTTCTGCACTGTGCTCAGCCCACCACTGAACCCTAGAGCTGTGAGTGCTGGAGAGCAAGACACCCACTGAGGAACCCTGAGGTGGCTCAGTCATCACATAGCAGCAGCCCTCACCTATTGCTTGGCCTGACCTTCAGCACTCTTCACTGCTGCCTGCTGCTGCCAGGTTGAACCCTCAGAGGTTGAGTCCTCTGCAGCTCCTCACAGAGCTCCAGGAGCTCTGGAACTTTTCCTTTTAGTCCCCAAATTCAGGCTCTTGCAATAACTCTTTAATGGAACCCCTCTGCTCTGACCTGTGAGGTCTCCAGTGCAGCACTGGCAGTTGCCTGCCAGCATCTCCCAGTGTCCATAGCAAGGCTGAGGCATGCAGAGGGCTCTGTGTGTGTGTGTGTGTGTGCTCTTTGCTGTGCAGGGGCTCGCCTCTGCTTTCCTGTTCCACAGCTTCCCAGGGCAGGCGAGATCAAGAGCTCAGCATGGTGGGGAAGGGAGTGACCTGCTCCGCTCAGGAGGGATCCCTGTGCTGATTCCAGAGCTGTGGAGCTGGGCCCCAGAGGAAGCTGCAGTCAGCTCTCAGCAGGAAGGAAAATGACCGCATGGAAGGGTGGTTATGCAGGGGGTAGGGACAAAGGGTAAATGCTCTGTCACTGATGGATGTACCTAGGAGTGGGTCACAGCCTGGGCAGTGGGGTGTGAGACAACATGCAAGTCATGCAGCACATCCCAGGGTGCTTCTCATTCAGCTTTGAATTTCTCTTTCTAATCCAACACCGTTGTATGTTTTATTGTAACTCTGTAAACCCTCACATCACTTGGACACTGCCTGCTCTTGCACTAGGAAGGCAACCAAACGGCAGGGCCTGGCTGTAGCTCTGCTGTTTCACCAAGTAACCAGTTCCTTGTTCACGGCAGGAACACTCTGCTCGGGGACTGTGCTGGGTCAGTGCTGAGGCTCTCCATGCACTCTCTGCCCAGTTACCACAGCTACAACAGGGTATTCTCATGTTTTGTATGGCGAAGGTGATTAGAGAAAGGCAGCAGTGAATTACCACCAGGAATTGGTCCAGTGGCCAGAGTAAGGGGTATGAACTCCTCCTGGTTGTATAGACATCAAGGCCAGCTTGGACAGGGCTTGAGGCAACCTGCTCTAGTGGAGGGTGTCGCTGCTCGTGGCAGGGGGTTGGAACTGGATGAGCTTTAGGTCCCTTCCAGGCCAGATTGTTCCATGATTCTGTGATGATCAGAAAAGGTTAATCCTCTTTGGGATTTTGGGGTCCGTGCTATCACTGGGGCAGCAGCTGCTGCCTTGTGGAATGCAGGAAGCAAAGACCTTCCACCTCCTCCCTGCCACGTGCTCTCCCATGGCAGAAAGCCCTCGGGATGGACCTGCCTGAGCTTGACCTATGTTTGTCACAGCAGGCACAGCACGTGGGGCACACATGGATTGGGAGCGGTGGTCATCCGGACCTTGGAAAAAGGATGGTGATGGGATTGTTTGCTTCCAGGCTGGTAAAACACAACTTCCGTGCTCCCCATGGCAGGACCAGATTAGGCTCAGCTTCTGACGTTGTTCCTGCCCTCATGAGCTGCGTTTGCCCTGGACTGACCTCTGTGGGAATAATTCATTATCCACAACCTGTTCAGCTTTTGAGTTTGCCTCTTGAGATTCCTGGATACAAGTAACTGAGAACCAGGTTCCTTCAGCATCCTTGCTCCGAGAGAGCTTGGGCTCCATCCTCACCAGCATTAGATCGGTGCCACACAGCAGTGGGGCTCAGCAGAGCAAAGGGACCTCTGTGACCACTGTCAGAGGTGGGTTGTTTGAGTGACTGTGGCCAAACCAATGGATTTTGTTGGACTCTTGTGTCCTCCTCTTGCCATTGTGGTCCCCTCAGTCGGTGGTGAGTGCTTGGACAGTTTGGGAGTGCCAGAGTCAGGTGTGGAACACATGGGCATGGAGTGCAGTGGTAAACTCTTTCCTTTCCAAGCCTTTTGTTGCCCTTGGTACCTGCAGCCCTGCAACTGGAAACCCATTTCCTGCCCTTTCATCCTCTGCCTTTCTGATCTCTGGGGGGGATTTTATCTATTTCTGTTTCCTCGTCTCAGGCAGCTTTTGTGTCTGCGCAGCCACTTCCTGAGCGCGCAGCTGGGCCCTCTGTCATCAACAAGGTCACGTTCTGGTGCACCATGTTTTTAGGGAGGTGGGGGAAGAGCAGTCACCCTGGGGGAGATACGGCTTTTCCAAGGCAGCAAAGAAAGATGGAGGCAGAAGGAGAGCCTGACAGACCACGTTTGTGGTGAGTGCCACAGTTTATGGTGAAGGCTCCAGGGAGACCTTAGGGCAGTTCCAGTGCCTAAAGGGGCTACAAGAAACCTGGAGAGAGGCTTTGGACAAGGGCCTGTAGGGACAGGCCAAGGGGAATGGCTTTAACCTGCCAGAGGGGAGACTGAGATGAGCTCTTAGGCAGAAGCTCTTCCCTGTGAGGGTGCTGAGGCGCTGGCACAGGGTGCCCAGAGAAGCTGTGGCTGCCCCATCCCTGGCAATGTTCAAGGGCAGGTTGGACACAGGGGCTTGGAGCAAGCTGCTCCAGTGGAAGGGGTCCCTGCCCGGGGCAGGGGTTGGAGCTGGAGGAGCTGTAAGATCCCTTCAACCCAAACCATTCCATGGCTTTATGAAAAATTGAGCTTAGGAAGGTTTCTGGATGAGGTTGCTCAAATCCAAGCAGAAAGAAATGAAGCAGCAGAGCCCAGAGCTTCAGAGGCATCTCGATCCCAGTGGATCTCTTTCTGCCATTGACTGCCTTTGTTTCCTTGGTTTAAGAAATGAAGTCACCAGCTCTGGTCACACTTGACTCAGTGTCTGAGGTGGTGAGGGAGGAGGATTCCAGACCCTGGGCTGCTCCCCCTCTTCCCCTCACACATGTGCTGGGTCACAGGGCCCGTTCCTCACTCAGTGACCTGCCTCCAAGGCTGGGGACGCATCATGGCTCTGGGTAATCACTTGGCTGGTGAGTGTTTCCTGGGAGGAAAGGAAAGGCAGGAAGGAAAAACAACAGCTGGTCAGAAGTTCCACTTGGGCAACAAGGCAAAAAACCAAGGGGGGAATTAAGAGGAAAACATGAATCAGAAGAGCTGGTTTCATTCAGGAATTGAGAGTGCTATGAGTCACTGATCTCTGCAGAAGATGCTGCTGTTTACGTACGTGTTTGTTGTGGGCCGGTTTCGTGTAAGGAGATGCGATGGCGTTCCCAGTTTTCTTGGCTGAACTGCCTCAGAGAACCCTTTGAGCCGGCTTCCCTGAGACAGCTCCATAGGTTGGAGCCCACGGGTTGGAACCCCTCTCTTGAGACGGCTTCCATGGTCCCGGCCCGACAGAAGAGGTCCCAACGCTGGGTGGCTGCTGCATGGCTGAGGCGGGAATAGCCTCGTGTGTGGAGGTACCGGACCCCGGGTGGGGGACAGCAGACACCGCTGGTGCTGGGGGCGCAGCAGGCTCTGCCCAGCGCGGCTGCCCCGGTGGAGATGGGGGCACCCCCGAGCCGGGATCCCCGCTCCCAGCAACACCCCAGAA